GATTTGAACCTTGAACCTCTGCAACAAATAAAGAATGTACTACTACTTGGCTTCCCTCTATGAGAGTGCTGCACATATAGGCCTCATCTCGGCAGAGATCAACTTGTAAATACGTTGCAACGTGACGCAGTACATTTCAGTATAGGAATAAAATGTTGCCAATGTGCCCTTTGATTATTTTGAATCATAATTGAAAGAATACCCGTCTGATTTTGTACGTACATACAACATTTTGTGTATTAATGTCAAACATGGAATATGTGCTGTCAGGACAAAGTATTTGTTTTGGTGGTAACCTGTACAAAAACTCACGTGAGAGCTGTTATTTTTGTGATACGAGTCAAAGGGTATTTTTGTGAATCAGGACGCATCTGACTGGGGCAACTCATTGTCTTTGAAATCGGGAGCATAGTCGGATCATTCATCAGTTAAGGTATGCCACTTATAAGTTACGTATAGGAGATACATTCTCCACAAAAACACTAATTATCATTTTGTATTACGTATACATTTTGTCGAACTGAGACTTGAAATGGACCTTGCCGATGAACATCAGTTGAAGCAAGCCGGACTGTTGAGACATTGTACACCAAAACCAGTCCACAGGTGGCTTGTACTGAACACGTGTAGTGCCATAAGAGAGGAGGGTCTGCTGGGGGCTCTAGGATCCTAGGCAGATAAGCCCTCGGCGCCAGGTGCTAGGATCCCAGGCACCCCAAACAGTTAAGCCCCTTGGCGCCACCAACGGGGGGGCTGTGCGTGCTCTGTGGGATATCTGGGGGCGCACACAACCCCACCCCTCGTTGGGGACGAGGCATAAAAGGGCAGCTCCCTGGCCGATCGGGGCCAGTTGCAGCTCAAGACCCAAGACCAGCCAGCTTAGGACCCTGGACCCCCTCGTCCTGCTTTTTCTTGTATGGGCCGGGACGCTGTGAGGGCCAGTGGTGGGACTCTGGGACTCCCGGCTCTACGTCCTTGTAAGGGCGCGTTCCGAGGAAGCCAGAGTCCAGACCCGCACCTTGGCTGGATCGGGTCAATTAGCCTCCCCTAGAGTAATTGCAGCCGGAGGACCCCAGAGCATAGCGAGAGTAGTGTATCTAGGCTGTGTACCTAGGCTATGTACCTAGGCTGTAACAGAGTATCAGGACTGTTGGAGTGTTTTATTGTAATAAAGAAGATACCTCTACAAGTGTCTCTGGAACCCATTACACATGCATTCCTAAAAGGCCGTGGTATTTATAGTTTGTGTAAAACATTCCTTTGTTTCGTGTAGAGAACGTTCAATGAAAGATGTCTGCCGATCTGTTTTTTCGCAAGGAGGTACTTTAAAGAGCACATTTGAAGGCATCGTGGATTTTTGTTACAGATTTGTATTCTAGCCTAGGTTTTATTGAATTTTAACTTCTATTTAAATTAAACTTTAGATATATGTCTGCATTGATATCCCACCTTGTTTACCACATGTTTACTTAAATATGTAGATTCTCCCTCTGAAGACGTCACCTCAAATTAACGAGTGGGTTACGTCAGGGCCTCCTTGTGATGTCACCAAGAGCAGAACTCGCCTCCACGGAATCTAATGACTGCATTTACACAGTAATCAAATCTTCACAACTGCCAGGGAACACATATTAAAAACCACTTAATGTACACTTGGAAGGCATTTTGAAATGTCTTGAAACTGAAACACGCGTAAGGAGGTCTACAAGGAGCAGGGTCTGAGATTGACGTGTGAAATTTGAAGTTCCATAAGCCCATCGTTTGTGATTCAAGGACCCAATAAAAATGGCAGCTGGGAAACGTCACCATTCGTGAAGGTGGCCTGTGAAGGCTCCAGGGTTTGACTTCCAGGCCGCTAATAGAGCCCGAGACGAATCACAGCCATTTGTGGATGTGAAAGTATTGTAGGACTTTTCGGACAATGTCGAGTAGAAGCAGACAGCATGTGTGACCATAAGTGTTGGGTAGACCTGTAACCAAATGCACGAGACACGGTTTCCCAATGTTTATTTCAATTGTTTAGTTTTTAGTTGATTTGGAATGCAGTACGTATTTCAATTGTGATGTAAATTTTAGTTGACGTTTACCTAACGCCATTACTTGGGTAAGGCTTAAGTATTGAATATCGCGTTTTTAGCAGTCTCGCAGAACTTTCCAAGAACGTAACCTCCGATATTCAAGGGGCGGCTGTATTTTCTGTCGATCGAGTACAGCAGAGGAGTACGGATTTTCACCAGAAACAAGATCCCTACTTTCTTGATGTAATTAAGGCCTATGGTACCCTAAATAGGCTTGGTGCTTTGGGTTCCTTAATTTCGATGTCTCTGCCTCTGCTCACATTCATTGAGGATTTTTATGATTTTGGGCAGGCCCATCTAAAGGTGCGTGACCAGGAGTTGGAACCATTTCCTGTTCAACTCGGCTTGTGACAGAAATTCACTTCGGCCCAATGCATTACATTTGTAATGTGAAGTTACACCTGGATGATGATGATTGGCTCTGCTGGCTTCAGCCCGCAACCAATGGGGAGTCGAGTTAGGGGCGTGGCCCTGGAGCCATACAGTAGCTTCGAGAAAGTTCCAGGGGTGTGGCTGAGGATTGGTTGCGGGGCATCACGTGGGCCAGGGATTAAAAGGCGCGGAGAAGCCACGCTGGTGCCGTGGTCCGGAGCCTGCCACGTAGCGGGCCCCGCAGTCTCTCTCACGCTGTCAGCCAACAGCATGAAGGAGCAAGGGAACTGGAGGAACGAATGTGGTGGAAGCTGTGAACGAATCTGAATAAAGAATTCTCAATTCACGATGTCGTCTCAACGGGGTTTATTACACATCACATAGCATCTTCAATAATTATGTAGTTTGAGAAGCTCACAATGGCCGTATAAATAAATTGGATTCGTCGCAGTTAAAAATAATATGCTTATCGATGACTGGTTATAGTTAAGGGATTATACTGGTAGGAACGAAGTGAACCAGCCTACAATAGATTATATCGTCCGTCCGTCCGATGTCCGATTACGTGTAGCAACATCGCCCCCTACTGCAAACACTTGGCAGGACCCTACAAAAACCTTTAGGACTCAGTGAGGCTTTCCTGGCTAAACAAGTGTAACATTCCCTTATAATTCCCTGAGATAGTTTTTAATTAAAACATTTAAATTAAAAATTAACCCACAGCGGCCTAAAGCCTACAGCTAGGCCTAAAGCCTAGAACTAGGCCTCAAACTCTCCCTTCGTATCGTACCCCCGCCATTTCATTTTATTATAGCCATTCATTTGTGCGTTCCTACCAGCCCACCCCGCAGGGACCTGTTTCCCTGCTGGTCAGCCCTGTTGCATCTGCTGATGATCTGGTAATGGCTACTCAATGAGATGGCTGGCTGAGGTGCCATCTCTTGTTTTGCCGGACACACACAGTAACAAGAACAACAACTGCCATTCGCCACAAAGTGGCGGTCACGTCACCATGGCGCTTGTGCCAAGCTATGTGCACGGGGTAGACCCAGGTGCCATGGGTCGACTGACTCAGTTGACTGGCCGATGCACCATCTGTACCCCCGACTGTGCCAACACACAGTGTACACACACACACAGTGTACACACACACACACAGTTTGTACACACACAATGTACACGCACAGTGTACACGCACAGGGTACACACACACAGTGTACACACACACAGTGTACACGCACAGGGTACACACACACAGTTTGTACACACAGTGTACACACACAGTTTGTACACACAGTGTACACACACAGAGTGTACACACACAGAGTGTACACGCACAGGGTACACACACACAGTTTGTACACACAGTGTACACACACAGTTTGTACACACAGTGTACACACACACAGTGTACACACACACAGTTGTACACAGTACACACACAGTTTGTACACACAGTGTACACACACAGAGTGTACACGCACAGGGTACACACACACAGTTTGTACACACAGTGTACACACACACAGTGTACACACACAGTTTGTACACACAGTGTACACACACACAGTGTACACGCACACAGTGTACACACACAGTGTACACACTCACAGTGTACACGCACAGGGTACACACACAGTGTACACACACAGTGTACACACTCACAGTGTACACACACACAGTGTACACACTCACAGTGTACACGCACAGGGTACACACACACAGTTTGTACACGCACAGGGTACACACACACAGTTTGTACACACAGTGTACACACACACAGTTTGTACACACACAGAGTGTACACGCACAGGGTACACACACACAGTTTGTACACACAGTGTACACACACACAGTGTACACACACACAGTTTGTACACACAGTGTACACACACACAGAGTGTACACGCACAGGGTACACACACACAGTTTGTACACACAGTGTACACACACACAGTGTACACACAGTGTACACACACACAGTGTACACACACAGTGTACACACACACAGTTTGTACACGCACAGGGTACACACACACAGTGTACACACACACAGTTTGTACGCACAGTGTACAAACACACAGAGCGTACACGCACAGGGTACACACACACAGTTTACACACACACAGTGACGTCACCACTCATTAACTCGTCGGCGTTAGACGCCAGGGAAAGCTGTTCCCCGCTAGTGACGTCATGTCACCAAGATATTCAATCCCACCCCCTCCACCGCGATTTTGACTGGCGGTTCATTAACATAATTTATTCATTAAAAACCGTCGCTATTTCATTGCGACGGGTTCAGCAGCCAAGCCCAATCACCCCACGTGGGCCCGGCTCATTAACATAATTTATTCAATTACACCGCTGCTTGTTGGGGGAGGGATTGTGTGATGAACCCCGCTAGTGACGTCATGTCACTCCTGCTGCCGCGTGACGTCACGATATATCCGGAAGCTGCTGCACCGCGCGCGCGCTCACTGAGATCCGAGGTGAGAAGTTCACATCGTGGTTGTTGTTGTTGTTGTGGTTGTTGTTGTTGTGGTTGTTGTGGTGGTTGTTGTTGTGGTTGTTGTTGTTTACCCAGGTAGAGCCTCGCTCCGTCTCTCGTAGGGATATCAATTGAGTAGCAGCGAGTATGGAATCGATGTCCAGGTTGGAACATTACAACGCGGGGCCTAGCCATGCGGGGCCTTGCCTCCTGCCCTCGCCTGATTGCATTTGCTTTAATTCTCTGCTTAAGTTTAATTTGTCTTCATCTGGCTCACTACTTTGAAACTTTGTTTCTTTTAAATATTTCTACAGTTTTTTTTATATCTTACCAAGGGCAAGCCCACTTCAGCTGCTATACCGCTCTTGTTTTCAGAAGCGACCTGCCCACAACAAAGTGGCTTATCAACGTGTGGAAATGTCTGTCGGTCAAATACTCTAAACGCGTGGTGATGTTGACTCTAAACGTGGAGGGGGTAACCACCGTAACCCTGAAGATCCGGAGGAAAATCCACGCGACCACGGGGAGAGAGACACGCAAATTCCAAATATACATCCTTAATACAGGTTTGTTTGGGTTAGGTCGCGTAAAAATAGAAATGTGTTGGTAAACCCGACAGCCAATTAGGAAGGGGTTGTCACATAAACAGCACGTGGCCAATTCGTCACTAGTGCAGCACTACACCGGTTGTGTGTTGGAGAGCCAAGCCACAACATTTACAATCTGACTACGACGTTTGCCAGTAATTACAACCAGCTTCAGCAGGCGACAACCAAATGTGCCTTGGTTCTGTGGGAAGATACATCGGGTCGCTGGGTTTATAACGCAGCACGCTAACCATTGCACTACTGCTCCCCACTGATGCAAAAATATGATCATCGGAAGTATAGTATTTATTCAATACTTGCTAAGTTACCTGGCTTTGCATAGGGTCTCAGTAATCAAACATTAAGATTAATGTCTTGCAATGTTGGCTTTATTGGAATTATTGAATTCTGCCAATGAAGTCTGTGAATGTGTGTATATTGTCACGGTTTCTTGGTTGTGTTATACAATCGCAGGGCTTGTTTGTTTCATAATGACAGCTTTTAAATTCGTTGCCTTTGGAGAGCTTCAGGATAGACAATGTTGGATGTTTTGCCATCTGGTGGGTTTAACCGAATGAAGCTTCAATTTTGACATAAATGTCAACAGCAGTTAAAGCTTACATGGATATAAAAAAAAAATGAAAATAAAGCTAAGAAAAAAATATCACGACGTTTTGATCGCAACAAGCAATCGTCATCTCCGGTCACGTGTCCTCCGGGGTCACCCAGAGTGCCATGGCCCCTTGCAACTCTGTTCCATGGCCGACACCCTTGCACTCTATCCTGTAGGGGCTGGCACTGCATGCAGAGCGTGGTGCCATCCATTGCTCTCAGTGCTCCCCGAGTCCCGTTAGGGCCGGTAATGCATCCACCTTCAGTGGTGTCTGCGATTTCAATACATGGCGTGCCGTACCTCTCTCCCAGGCCAGCTTCACACAGTGACATCCAACGATGTCACTACACATAGCAGCTTCAATAATTATGTAGTTTGAGAAGCTCCCAATGGTCATATAAAAGCCGTAGCATTTATTACGGTTACAATGATACGCTAATCGATGCCTGGTTATAGTTAAAGGATCGTTCCCTGCTGGTCAACCATGTTACATCTGCTGATGGTTTGGTAATGGCTACTCAATGAGATGGAATTAGGGATAATTCCATCGTGAAATGGGGCCTTGCAAATGTTCCACAAAAAAAATCACCTGCCTAGGAATGTCATGTCATACAACACTGCACCTGCTCAACTCTCCATGAATAATCAGGCAGTTCTACAAGTGTTGGAGGAGCTCCCATACCGGGTTGATGTGTTCACAACCAGCTTTGGTTTGGCAGCCAAAGTCTCACTTAACATTAGTCGAGCAGCATTCTTTCATTAGACTGTGTAACACTGGTAGCTGCCTGGACTTTTTCTCCATACAAAGCTGAGTGTCAATCTCCAAGGTCTAGTCCATATGAGACCAATGTAAGGCCACTCACATGACCTTAAATTGCACCTATCATGGCATTAGCACTGTGATAAGGTTACTTCCAATTCGTCATGAATGGTGGATGTTTTGTTTATATATGTTAATGATCCATGTGAAATGTATGTGCATGTAAGAGTGTATCTATGTGGGGAGCGGTGGTCCAGTTATTTCACTGCATTATGAACAAACTCTAATAAAATAAAATACGACGTTTTGGGCGCAACACAGTCTGCCTCAGCAGCAGACCATGCTTTCCCACCTGATGACGGATGCTTGTGTTGCGCCCGAAACGTCGTTATTTATTTTATACCTACGTGACTTTACCGAAAGAACCAAAGAGTATGGATTCCTGCTGTTATGAAAGCTTTAAATCAAGATTAATACTGAGCAGATGAATGTGGCCAGGCATGGTTCTGGAAACCCCACCACCTTTTTATCATGCCAGTGTGTGACAGTGTCAAGTTTGTATTTGCAGTAAAGTATATTAAATATTGAACAATGAGGTTAAATAAAAAAAATAGTTTATCTCTGGAACTTTTTATAAGAATGGAAACCAGTCAGGAAAATATCTCGGCACATATGCAGTTGAAGTAAGATCTGTTCATCGAAGCATTCAAGCAAATCTGAGCCACACAACTCATACTTAACTTCAAATTTAGCATTCTTTGAAAGAACGTAATCAACCAAGTAAAGTGTTAACTGTTGTGTTAGCCAACTCTGTGTTGTATTGCATTACATTTCTAAGTTCACGAGGTTTGATTTCTCAAGCTTCCAATTTCTCTCCCTCTGCCGCAGATCCCATCCCCCCTTGGCTCTACATGCCCGCTGCTGCAGATCCCATCCTCCCCCTTGTCTCTCATTGACATGCTAATTTCTCTGCCCCAACCCCCCCTCTCACTATATAATACCTCGTCACAGAGGCGTTGCTTCTCTGTGTGTCTCTCTGCGTGTGTCTCTATATGTGTCTCTCCTGTGTGTCTCTCTGGTTGTCTCTCTCTGTGTTTGTCTCTCTCCGTGTCTGTTTGTCTCTCTCTCTGTATATGTCTCTCTCCGAGCTTGCATTTGCATACAGTTATCACCTGATGACGGTTGCTTATGTTGCAATGGAAAGGTCGTGCAATATTTATTTATTTTTACTTTATACGTGACTTTACTGAAAGAACCAGAGAGTAATTCCTGCAGTCACGAAATCTTGAAATCAAAGATTGTATTCATTCCTCTTTGTCTCGATACTGACCTAGATGGTATGGAATACGTGTTTCTGTCTGCAGCTGACGTTTCCTCTGACGCTTCCTCTGCAGAATTGGTCTGATGGAGCAAAGGCACTCAGCGCAGCTCGGTACAAGAAGGAAACAATGCGACCAGTATCCAAACAGCACGGATCATACTGGAAGTTTAACACAGCACCAGAGAACTCACACAGGAGAGAAACCCTTCAGGTGTAGTGTGTGTGGGAAGGAATTTTCAGATTCATCGACTCTTAAAAAACACCAGAGAACACACACAAGAAGGAAACCTTTCAAATGCACTGTCTGTGAGAAGGCATTTGCACGGGCAGCAGATCTTCAGATCCACCAGAGAGCACACACAGGAGAGAAACCCTTCAAGTGCAGTGTGTGTGGGAAGGCATTTTCAAGTTCATTTTATTTTAAAAGACACCAGAGAATACACAAAGGAGATAACCCCTTCAAGTGCAGTGTGTGTGAGAAGGAATTTTTAGTCATCACATTTTAAAAAACACCAGAGGACACACACAGAAGAGAAACCCTTCAGGTGCACTATGTGTGGAAAGGCATTTGCAGATTCACCGATTCTTAAAAAACACCAGAGAACACACACAAGAGAGAAACCTTTCAAATGCAATGTCTGTGAGAAGGCATTTGAATGGGCAGCATTTCTTAAGATCCACCAGAGAACACACACAGGAGAGAAACCCTTCAAGTGCACTGTGTGTGAGAGGGCATTTGCACGGTCATCAGATCTTCATCGACACCAGAGAACATACAGGCATCAGAATATCCCCAAAGAGTGTCTGAAATCGACTTGTGGAAGTCAAAGTGCTGCAATGAGCCCATCCCTCCTGAAAAAAGAACCAGAAGTACATTCCAGCTTGGACACTATGAAATGTATCAAGGTGAAATGTGAAGAGGCAATAGTGAAGAGCGAAGAAGTGAAGGTAAAATGTGAAGATGTGATGGTGAAGAGCGAAGATGTGAAGGTAAAATGTGAAGATGAAGATTCAACTCCAAAATCGGACCTTCACATCGATGGAGGCAACGTGAAGCAGGAGGAGAATTCTGACTGTGAGGCAGAGCGAGGTAACTCTCAGCAGTTTGTGGAAGTGGAGGTGTGGGTGGACTTCTTAGACAAAACAAAGTCAAATGGGGACCCGGTAGATGTGTATGCTTGAGACAATGAAGCCCCAGTAGATTCACCTTTGTCACAGGCCTTTAATGAAAGAATGTGAAGTTGAACGCTCAATTCAGTATTTGCAGACCTGTGGGTTGGGTAGTTCTATATCAATTTATAACATTTTTGACATGCGTTTTTCTGGATTTTTTTGTTCTTCTGTCTCTCACTGTTCAAATAAACCTACCATTAAAATTATAGACTGATCATTTCTTTGTCAGTGTGCAAACGTACAAAATCAGCAGGGGATCAAATACTTTTTGCCCTCACTGTATATATCTTTTTTACTTCCAACCCGTGATGAGAGGACAGAATACATGTTGACAGCAAGCACACGCGTGCACAACAGGTCACGACTTTAAAGGCCACAGCGCCCCTTTTTGACAGAGACTGCAAGTCTCATGCAAAAAATGTTTAATGCTTCCAACCCGTGATGGAATTGTGGGGAACGCTGCCAAAAACGAATACACACAAACAGGGAGACAATTGTGTTAAAAGCTTTCTTTTCATCGCATAATCTTGCCGGCGAATGTATTAAAGCCCTTAACCAATTGATGCACATTTGTTAGACAAGCAAGCATACTACCGCACACCATTGTTCCAAGGCATTACGTTAATTGCATAATCTAACAAATGAATTCATTGAGGTCTACCTTTGCTTAGGCACATGTTTCTTTATTACTGTTCGTATGAATATTGTCACATTAATTAAAAAAACTTTTTCCTGTCGCTGTGTATGATCACCTTACTCTGAAGAATGAGCCAATTGTTCTGTTACCCAGTTTGACAAACACTTATTGAGGGTTAAATGTACGGATCAATGAGGAGGACATCTCCAGGAGTACTGTGTTGGCATTCCTAGCATAAGAGTTCGCATGTTAGAATGTTATGTGTTTTTTAGAGATTAAAGTTGCTTAACACAGAAGAGTCTGAGTGGTGCCTTTCTAAGTCCATACATAATATTAATTAAGAACTGTATCCTGCGGAGAGATCTGAATTTTGAGACCTGATATAACACTAAGGCATAATCAGTAAAAGTTAAAGTGAGAATCATTGTATTATCCTGATTGAAAATTCGCTGGTCAACACACTTTTTCTGGCATAAGGTATTCCAACGGGTTTAAGGTAATTTTGGGGTGCTGCTTCCAAATCTAGCATCAGTTTGTGTCTATCACATCAGGTTTTTGAGATATCAAATATTGCATTTTCAATAAAAACTGCAGAAGAAAAATATTAAATAAATGTGGATATCTACATAAAATGATATAAACACTATCAAAAAAATACAGCACCATATTTTAACACTAAAGCAGTCACTGACTCGCAACAACTTGCAATCATAAGTGACAGAGTTAATTTCGGGTAAAATCAATGAAAATGGGGTATGCCGATAGCATAAAATGAGATGTGATCGAGCAAATCTGAGATCAGATTTGGAATCAGCACCCTGAAATTAGTCGAGAACAGCTGCAAAAGTCCAGGCCAGAAATAAACTTTTTTTTGTTGACCAGTGATAATACAACCATAGACAACGAAGCAGAAGCTAATGATCATAATTGAATTCATTATCATAATTACATACACTTGCATAACTGAATACAATTGCACCTACCTAATTAGCATACAAGCAACATTTTCATGATTAAATAAATTAGCATAATTTCGGGAACATTACAGTTTAAAAAAAATGTCATTTCATTTTTTACATTTTATAATTTTTCAGACCGAATATATACAACAGGTGGAAAGTATCATATATAAGCACTGCTCAACGAAACACCCAACTACGACTGGAGAAGTCCAAACCATCAAGCACATCACCGATGAATGCTCCATCCATGCACATCCTGGCGGTATCGCTAAAATTCACACTGCTTCAACCACATCATTGGACTGGATAAGAAACCTTTGCATTCATTCATGACGATCATTTAAAATAACAACTGTTGCTTTTCACAATGCCATATGAAAGAAGAAGAAGTACTGCGAGTGGTCGGCTCCGGGGATTGCCCTCGTGACTGGCAAATTGATAGGGAGCTCTGCATCGTCAAAAGCCACGCATCACGGAGAGTTTTTTGTTGCGTCATTGAGGCTGCCAGCCATGGCTGGTGCTCGCAGTATTGCAATCCAGACCTGGGGAAGAGTGACAAGCATTACTATTCCCGGTGGCGAGATCGTTCTGTACAGCAAACACGATCATAGTGACAATCGTTCGGATTGTGCTCAGATCAAAGTCAACCCTTTGAGGGAAAACTGGTGCAACCACTATTCGTGAGAGTGCCCCTTGAAATCGCAACCCACAGGCGAAGTTGTGTTGAGGGTCGGATCAGAGACTGACACGGAACGATATAACTTGATCTGTAGCGTGTCCTCTGTGCAGCACGAGTCGTACAAACAACTGGAAGAGGACTCTCTTGAAGAGGGGGGAGACGACAGGCGCTGTCTCTCCAACTCGCTCCACAGTCTGCAAGGATCAACAGTGTCTGGTGCGAGTGGTTTCTGGTGACGGGATGATCGCGCACATCGACGCAGACGGAGCCGGACCCATCATCCCTGCCAGCACGGGCACTGCCGACAGAGTGACCAGCGTGCCGACTCGACAATCACCTCAGCGGTGGAGAGAGACTGACGAAGCAGCCGAGAGCGCCGTGTGCTCAACACACACGCTGACCCAGCGCCCCTGCTGGGCACCTGAGGTATTTTCGTTTCAAGGAACGCAGCACCTCGGAAGCCGCAAGAAGACAACAACTTAAATTTCGATTTAAAGCTTTCATGACTGCAGGGATTCATCTTCTTGGTTCTTTCGGTAAAGTCACGTTTCAGACGCTGTCGCCTCGACAGACCTGGTTTTCACCTGATGACGGCTGCTTGCGTTGTGGCCGAAACGTCGTGAGAATTATTTTATCATGTTTTATTTTTATTATTTTATTACTTCCCTTCTACGTGACTTTACCGAAATAACCAAGAAGAAGACAACTGCCATTCGCCACGAAGTGGTGGTGACGTCACCACGACGCTTGTTCTAGACTATGTTTTTAAGTTTTCAGTTTAATTTATTAGGTACTAGCGGTAAGTACCCGGCGTTGCCCGGGTGAAAAATATCTTTAAAAACCTCTCTTAAAATTTTCGATTTAAAGCTTTCGTGACTGCAGGGATTCATATTCTTGGTTCTTTCGGTAAAGTCACGTAGAAGGGAATTCTCACGACGTTTCGGCCACAACGCAAGCAGCCGTCCTCAGGTGAAGAACAGGTCTGTCGGAAAGACAGCGTCTGAATGAACACCACCAGGCTTGGCAGCGTATATTTAAGCTGGGGAGGGAAGAGCGCCTTGACAAAGAAATTGCATATCAATAGGAATTTAGCATATTTATGGAAAATGCAGATATGGGATTAGTCACTACTTGTGGAATGAGTTACAGCAGCAGAGGTTAGTGTAAATGCGATTGGTATTACCTTATAGTCGCGGCATCTCTTCAGAAAGGTGAGAGACTCAATTAGCTGAGCCTTCTTATCACGGAGTTTGTTGTCTCTTAAAAACCTTACATATGTAGGACTCGTACAAGGGTTGTCTTTCTCTTTATTTTCCTCTTAGAGTCCACCTTCGCCGCGCCACCGCTCCGCGTCTCGGCGCAACCCCGCTCCACTCCGCGTCGCTCTGCTGCGCCACCGCTCCGCGTCTCTCCGTGCCCTCACTCCGCTCCGCGTCGCTCTGCGTCTCTCTACCTCACTATCGCTACGCTTGTCGTCTCTACGGTTTCTCCTACTCTGCATCCTTCCGATGCATGGCTACCCTGTCTGCTCACTGCGTTCTCGCTACCACTGTCTCTCCACGCTTTACTCTACTGACACTGTCTCTCTACGCTTTACTCTACTAACACTGTCTCTCTACACCTTACTCTACTATCACTTGCTCTGCGACTCCCTGGGCACCGTTGCTGCAGCTCCATCCACGACACCAACTCGTACAGGACTCCCTTCTCTCCGTTGCGCTCTGGCTTATATCCCCACACCAATTAATCACCCTAATTATCTCTACCCTCTGCTTATCGCTCACCCCCTGGCCCCCCGTGTCACGTGGCCTTGTTTTCGCCGCCAGAGCGACGCCGTCTAATGCCCAATTACCTTTCACTGGCCTATGTCCTGCCGGCTACCCTGACACCTGTTTCAACTCTTAATGACCCACTTCGCCTAAAGTCACAACAACAACCATTACCTCACATCACCCCACTGTACTGTGCTTGCTCGCATAGCAACAGAGGCGGGGGATGCGTGGCGCGCTATCTCAAGCCCTACACATATACACACACAGATACTAAGGTATTGTGAAAGCCCGGTGGGCCGTTTGTACATTTCTCCATCAACAAAATTATAAGAAGCTTGTAAAAGTCCAAAAAGTTGTAGAAATTGTGGGGTAAATATTTGATGTAAAAGGTTTCCGAAAATTGTGGACACCCCCCCTCAAAAATTATATTTACACCACCCTACATACAACAGAGGAAGTATCTATTGACTCTGTAGTTGTATCTACTGACTGGACAGTAGTATCTACTGAGCGAGTAGTAGCTACTGACTGGAGTATTATTTATTGATTGTATTAACGACTGACCGTAGTAGTATCTACTGGGCCTACAGTAGTATCTACCGACTCTATAGTAGTAACAACTAACTGTATAGTAGTATCCACTGACTATAGTAGTATCCACTGACTATAGTAGTAACTACTAACTCTATAGCAAAATCTACTCACTCTATAGTAGTATCTACGGACTCTAATAGCTACTCACCGTACTAGTATGTACTGACTGTATAGTAGTATATACTGATTGTAGCAGTATTGACTGAGCTGTAGTGGTATATACTGACTGTTTTAGTATCTACTAACTCTATATAGCAGTATCTACCAACTCGATAGCAGTATCTACTATCACTACAGCAGTGCATACCGGCTGAGGTGGTACCTGCTATCACTACAGCAGTGCATACCTACAGTGATGGCACCTGCTATGACTACAGCAGTGCATACTGACTGTGGTGGTACCTGCTATGATTACAGCAGTGGATACTGATTGTGGTGGTATCCTATGACTACAGCTGTGCATACTGACTGGTGGTACCTGCTTTCACGACAGCAGTGCATAGTGGTGGTACATGCTATGATCACAGCAGTGCATACTGACTGTGGTGGTACATGCTATGAATACAGCAGTGCATACTGCTGTGGTGGTACCTGCTATGATCACAGCAGTGCATACTGTGGTGGTGGAACCTGCCATGATTACAGCAGTGCATACTGACTGTGGTGTTACCTGCTCTGATGACAGCAGCACATACTGTGGTTGTATCTGCTATGATGACAGCAGTACATACCGACTGTGGTGGTACCTGCTATGATCACAGCAGTACTGTGGTGGTGGTACCTGCTATGACAGCAGTACATGCTGTGGTGGCACCTGCTATGATGAAAGCAGTACATACTGTGGTGGTACCTGCTATTACAGCAGTGCATACTGCTGTGGTGGTACCTGCTATGATTACAGCAGTGCATACTGCTGTGGTGGTACCTGCTATTACAGTAGTGCATACTGACTGTGGTGGTACCTGCTACTTTACTTAATAAGCAGGCTACAGTCTGCATTATAAACTGCCAGTACACTCACCCAGCTTAATAACTATTTGTACAGTCTATATTTAAAGAATCGATTCGTGGCACGCTCGGGTTTATTTTAATTTACCGAGTTTCATTTTCATTGCTATGTTATGTTTTAAAGTTTTCAGAAGTTTTTAAATGTATTTCCCCCCCGGGCAATGCTGGGTATATCGACTCTAACAAGAGTGGGGTGTCGAGGGCTAGTCCCGTGCAGAGCCTCTGGCCTCGCCTAGATTGCCCAGCCGGGCGAGGCTGGGGGCTGGGCCGCTACCCCCCACCCCCACGCTAGAATAATAGTCTAATCTCTATAATTTTATTATCTACCGACCCTATAATAGAAATTGCACACATTGGGGTGGGGGGTGGAGAGAGTAGAGGACATGAAACTTTGATGTATTTACCTCAGCGTCGCGTGTAAATGTGTGCGCATATTTTTTCACACGGGTGAGAAATGGCATCCACCCTGCAACAACGGTGTGCTGCCCGTTGCCAGGGACAACCCTTGGTCAGCGTTTCGTACATGCGCAACGGTGTGCTAAATAAATAAAGAGAAATCGCACTAAATGGATAATTAAACCGCTTTAAAGTTTAGGGACTAAAAAACGGAAATGCATATTCCCACCGCGGGGCTCGGGGCGTGCCTCCTGGCAAAACATTTCTCGGTAAACCCCACGGTCCGAGAGCCAAATCACCCGCAAGCGAGCGTACGCAGACAGACAAAAAATGCCTTTCATAGGTTACAAAGATATTATGCATGGACTTAGGAAAACACCACTCAGACTCTGTGTTAAGCAACTTTAATCTAAAAAAAACACGTAACATTCTAACATGCGAACTCTTATGCTAGGAATGCCAACACAGTACTCCTGGAGATGTCCTCCTCATTGATCCGTACATTTAACCCTCAAAAATTATGTTTGTCAAACTGGGTAACAGAACAATTGGCTCATTCTACAGAGTAAGGTGATCATACACAGCAACAGGAAAAAGTTTTTTTAATTAATGTGACAATATTCATACGAACGGTAATAAAGAAACGTGCCTAAGCAAAGGTAGACCTCAATGAATTCATTTTTTAGATTATGCAATTAACGTAATGCCTTGGAACAATGGTGTGCGGTAGTGTGCTTGCTTGTCTAACAAATGTTCATCAATTGGCTAAAGGCTTTAATATATTCGCGGGCAAGATTCTGTGATGAAAATAAAGCTTTTAACACAATTGTCTCCCTGTGTGTGTGTATTCGGTTTGGGCAGCGTACCCCACAATCCCATAACGGGTTGGAAGTGTTCAAAAAAATTTGCATCAGACTTGCAGTCTCTGTCAAAAAGGGGCGCTGTGGCCTTTGAAGTCGTGACCTATTGTGCAGGAGTGTGATTGCTGTCACCATGTATGCTGTCCTCTCATCACGAGTTGGAAGTAATTTTTTTTTATTCACCTCTTATAGCTTGGTACCGTACCACTTTCCGCAGTTTTGACTCTGCAAGTGACTTGAAGTACGTTTAGAGCAACATTCACTGCACTCACGTCGCTGTTTGGAATTCTTGCATGGTATTTGATATATTAGGGGAAGACGCCCCCCTGCATACATAATTTACTGCTACCATGTGCTGTTAGCTACTAGAAGACGAAGGCGTTTGGTGAGACTCTGATCCCGTGGAATACATTATCTTGTTCGTGAGATTGACATATTTCACATTGTATCTCTTCTGAATGACCCTAGGTCTAATACTTTCATTATTATTATTTGGTTCATGCTTAACCAAGATATGGTATACCGTAGTTGTTACCGAGTATATTCCGAGGGTTTTATTAACCTTTGTTCCCCGTCTATATCGCCAGGGATCTGTGCTTCTTATTCTCAAGTATATTTTGATATCCTGAGGTTGAACATATAGCTAAGCTTCGAACTTCACTGTAGTATTTTTAAAAACCCAGTCAGCTCATGATGATTAACTGCCCTTGGGTGGATTTCAAAGTCCAAGGGAGGTTTGTGACCCCTGCTGTTTCCATCTTATGGTTTGCCATTTTTTTAATTAAATTGTATTACTTTCCAAGCAGGCTTGTGAGTTATTATCCTCCACCGGTCTGGTGGCAAGGTAGGAGGCAGGGGGGCGATTCACCCTTTCTGTGCCCCAGCGCTACATCCCGATCAAAATTATTACCAAAAAAGGCAGAATCACTTAATAATTTTTTTTGGAAAAGGCATATGCACAACATGCTCTTCGAGTGTTTGTGATGAGATATGATACAAAACTCCGAGCTGCTGAGGCGATTAAACAAGCATCATTATAATATTATAACATTATGAATGCTTGGGAGCGTATTGGCTCTGGCTCCTGGTTAGAGATCTACCCAATCCACAGGTCTGCAAATACTGGCCCCTCTTACTCGGCAGGCTGAACCTAGGAATTGAGTGTGCAACTTCACTTTAATGTAATTAAAGGCCTGTGACAAAGGTGAATCTACTGGGGCTTCATTGTCTCAAGCTTACATATCTACCGGGTCTCCATTTGACTTTGTATTGTCTAAGAAGTCCACCCACACCTCCACTTCCACAAACTCCTGGGAGTTACCTCGCTCTGCCTCACAGTGAGAATTCTCCTCCTGCTTCACGTTGCCTTGATCGATGTGAAGGTCACATTTTGGAGTTGATTCTTCATCTTCACATTTTACCATCGCTTCTTCGCTCTTCACCATCACTTCTTCACATTTCACCTTTTCAAAATCCACCTTGACACATTTCATTGCGTCCAAGCTGGAATTAAATTCTGGTTCTTTTTTCAGCAGGGATGGGCTCATTGCAGCACTTGGACTTACACAAGCCGATTTCAGACTCCACTCCTTGGGGATCTTCTGATGCCTGTGTGTTCTCTGGTGTCTTTGAAGATGTGATGACCGTGCAAATGCCTTCCCACACACAGTGCACTTGAAGGGTTTCTCCCTTGTGTGCTTTCTCTGGTAACTATGAAGATTAGATAACTTTGCAAATGCCTTCTCAAACATAGTGCACTTGCAGGGTTTCTCTCCTGTGTGTATTCTCTGGTGTCTTTTAAGATTTGATGAATGTGCAAATGCGCTTCCACACACAGGGCACTTGAAGGGTTTCTCTCCTGTGTGTATTCTCTGGTGTTTTTTAAGATGTGATGACTCTGTAAATGCCTTCTCACACATAGTGCACTTGAAGGGTGCGTCTCCTGTGTGCGTTCTCTGGTGAATATGAAGATTTGATGGATTTGCAAATGCCTTCTCACACAGAGTGCACTTGACGGGTTTCTGTCCTGTGTGTGTTCTCTGGTGGCTCTGAAGATGTGATGACTGTGCAAATGCGCTTCCACACACAGTGCACTTGAAGGGTTTCTCTCCTGTGTGTGTTCTCTGGTGTCTTTGAAGATTTGATGACTTTGTAAATGCCTTCTCACACATAGTGCACCTGAAGGGTTTCTCTCCTGTGTGTGTTCTCTGGTGACTCTGAAGATTTGAGGACTTTGCAAATGCCTTCTCACACACAGTGCACTTGAAGGGTTTCTCTCCTGTGTGTATTCTCTGATGTCTTTTAAGATTTGATGACTGTGCAAATGCGCTTCCACACACAGTGTACTTGAAGGGTTTTTCTCCGGTATGTATTCTCTGGTGTCTTTTAAGAAGTGATGAATCTGAAAATGCCTTCTCACACACAGTGCAGCTGAAGGGTTTCTCTCCTGTGTGTGTTCTCTGGTGTTTTTTAAGATGTGATGACTCTGTAAATGCCTTCTCACACATAGTGCACTTGAAGGGTTTCTCCCCTGTGTGCGTTCTCTGGTGTGTTTTAAGATGTGATGACTCTGTAAATGCCTTCTCACACATAGTGCACTTGAAGGGTTTCTCTCCTGTGTGCGTTCTCTGGTGACTCTGAAGATTTGATGACTTTGCAAATGCCTTCTCACACACAGTGCACTTGAAAGGTTTCTCCCCTGTGTGCGTTCTCTGGTGTGTTTTAAGATGTGATGACTCTGTAAATGCCTTCTCACACATAGTGCACTTGAAGGGTTTCTCTCCTGTGTGCGTTCTCTGGTGATTTTGAAGACTTGATGACTTTGAAAATGCCTTCTCACATACAGTGCACTTGAAGGGTTTCTCTCCTGTGTGCGTTCTCTGGTGACTCTGAAGATTTGAGGACTTTGCAAATGCCTTCTCACACACAGTGCACTTGAAGGGTTTCTCTCCTGTGTGTATTCTCTGGTGTCTTTTAAGATTTGATGACTGTGCAAATGCGCTTCCACACACAGTGTACTTGAAGGGTTTCTCTCCTGTGTGCGTTCTCCGGTGTGTTTTAAGATGTGATAACTCTGTAAATGCCTTCTCACATACAGTGCACTTGAAGGGTTTTTCTCCGGTGTGTATTCTCTGGTGTCTTTTAAGAAGTGATGAATCTGAAAATGCCTTCTCACACACAGTGCACCTGAAGGGTTTCTCTCCTGTGTGTGTTCTCTGGTGTTTTTTAAGATGTGATGACTCTGTAAATGCCTTCTCACACATAGTGCACTTGAAGGGTTTCTCCCCTGTGTGCGTTCTCTGGTGTGTTTTAAGATGTGATGACTCTGTAAATGCCTTCTCACACATAGTGCACTTAAAAGGTTTCTCTCCTGTGTGCGTTCTCTGGTGACTCTGAAGATTTGTTGACTTTGCAAATGCCTTCACACACACACTGCACTTGAAGGGTTTCTCTCCTGTGTGCATTCTCTGGTGTGATTTCAGATGTGATAACGTTGAAAATGCGCTTCCACACACAGTGCACTTGAAGGGTTTCTCTCCTGTGTGGGTTCTCTGGTGGTAGTGAAGAGTTGATGACTCTGTAAATGCCTTCTCACACATAGTGCACTTGAAGGGTTTCTCTCCGGTGTGTATTCTCTGGTGACTTTGAAGATTTGATGACTTTGCAAATGCCTTCTCACACATAGTGCACTTGAAGGGTTTCTCTCCTGTGTGTGTTCTCTGGTGGTCGTGAAGAGTTGATGACTCTGTAAATGCCTTCTCACACATAGTGCACTTGAAGGGTTTCTCTCCTGTGTGCGTTCTCTGGTGACTCTGAAGAATTGATGACGTTGCAAATGCCTTCTCACACATAGTGCACTTGAAGGGTTTCTCTCCGGTGTGTATTCTCTGGTGTCTTTGAAGATTTGATGACTTTGCAAATGCCTTCTCACACATAGTGCACTTGAAGGGTTTCTCTCCTGTGTGTGTTCTCTGGTGGTCGTGAAGAGTTGATGACTCTGTAAATGCCTTCTCACACATAGTGCACCTGAAGGGTTTCTGTCCTGTGTGTGTTCTTTCGTGGTCGTGAAGATGTGATGACCGTGCAAATACCTTCCCACACACACTGCACTTGAAGGGTTTATCTCCTGTGTGTATTCTCTGATGGGTCTGAAGATTTGAAAACGTTGCAAATGCCTTCTCACACACAGTGCACTTGAAGGGTTTATCTTCTGTGTGTGTTCTCTGGTGGTGCTTAACATTTGATAAAGTTGCAAATGCCTTCTCACACACACTGCACTTGAAGGGTTTCTCTCCTGTGTGCATTCTCTGGTGTGTTTTCAGATGTGATAACGTTGAAAATGCCTTCTCACACACAGTGCACTTGAAGGTTTTCTCTCCTGTGTGTGTTCTCTGGTGTCTCTTAAGATCTTTTGACTTTGCAAATGCCTTTTCACACACAATGCACTTGAAGGGTTTCTCTCCCGTGTGTGTTCTTTGGTGTGTTTGAAGATATGATGACTTTGCAAATGCTTTATCGCACAAAAGGCACCTGAAGGGTTTCTCTCCCCTGTGTGTTTTCTGGTGTCGTTTCAGAGATGAACCTGAAAATACCTTTACACACAAACTGCACTTGAAAAGTTTCTCTTCCGTGTGTGTTCTCTGGTGGATCTGAAGAGTTGATGACCGTGCATATGCCTTGTTACACACAGTGCACTTGAATGGTTTCTCTCCTGTGTGAGTTCTCTGGTGCTGTGTCAAACTTCCAGTACGATCCGTGCTGTCTGCATACTGGTCGCATTGTTTCCTTCATGTACCGAGCTGCGCCGAGTCCCTTTGCTCCATCAAACCAATTCTGCAAAGGAAGAGTCAGAGGAAGCGTCAGCTGCAGACAGAAAAACATATCCACACCATCTACGTCAATATCAAGGCACAGAGGAATGCATATACACAGTCACACATGACATACACATCTATACTTATTCATATTTTCATGATATAGTGAAAATAATTCCCCAATTCATCACGCGGGCTGTTAAGGCACACAATGAGAGGGCCAATGGTCATAAATATGCATGGACACCCTCGTGTCTTCAAAATGAATGCTTACCAAAAACTCCAAGCACACAATTTCGGTTGTCTAGCTACGACAGGAATATTTATTTAAGAAAAATTAGCTAACATAGCAAAGGCTGTTGAAAAGAATATTATTTGTATTATGCAGAAATGTATAAATTAATGTTCATTTGCAACTTAGAGGGGTGAAGCCAGGCTCAGATGAGCTTGAATGCAAGGATGAACAGATCTAACTTCAGCTGCATATGTGCAGTGTTAATTTCCTGACTGTTTCCATTCTTATAAAATCTTGTTCTGTACCTTTTGAATTCCATGACGAAATGGGGCCTTGCATATGTTCTACAAAAAGATCACCTCCATGGGAAAATCTTGACTTAAAACTTTTGTGATAGCGGGAATTCATATTCTTTGGTTATTTCGGTAAAGTCACGTAGATAGAAAATAATAATACAAATAAAGTGAATAGAAGAAAAAAACCGACTTCGGTGAGCGTACTGGCAGTCTATAATGTAGACTATTGCCTGTTTTTTTGACGAGACCTTTGCAATGGACTAGACCTTTGCAATGGACGAGACCTTGGCGATGGACACTCACAGCTTTGTATGTAAAAAAGTCCAGGCAGCTTCCACATAGTGTTACAGAGCCTAATGAAAGAATGCTGCTAGACTAATTTTAAAGTGAGACTTTGGATGCCAAACCAGAGCTGGTCATGAACACATTAACCAGGTATAGGAGCTCCTCCACCACGTGTAGAACTACCTGATTATTCATGGAGAGCTGAGCAGGTGCAGTGTTGTATGACATTAAATTCCCAGGGAGGTGTTCTTTGAGTCTTTCGGTAAAGTCACATCACTTAACCGAAAGACCCAAAGAATATGAATTCCTGCAGTTACGAAAGCTTTTGGTCAAGATTTTCCCAGGGAGGTGATATGTTTGTAGAACATATGCAAGGCCCCATTTCGTTATGGAATTCTCCAGGTACAGAACAAGATTCTCCAACTCAATATCATTGAGTAGCCATGACCAGATCATCAACATGCGTAACAAAGTTGACCAGCAGGGGACAATCCCTTGACTTCAGCCAGGCATCGATTAGCATATCATTGTTACTGTATGAAATGCAATTTTTATAGGGCCATTGTGAGCTTCTCAAAACACATAATTATTTGAAAATGCTACGTAATGTAATGCATGGGGCCAGAGGGAATTTCGGCCACAAGCCATGTTGAACAGGAAAGGGATCCGACTCCAGGTCACACAGCTTTAGACGGGCCTGCCTAAAATCATAAAAATCCTCAACGAATGTGAGCAGAGGCAGAGATATCTAAAACAAAAAACAATCCAAAACCCCAAGCCTCTTTATGGTACTATAGGCCGTAATTACACCAAGAAAGCAGAGATCTAGTTTCTGCTGAAAATCCGTACTCCTGTGCTATAGCTGATGGATAGAATTTACAGCAGCCCCTTGAATAGCGCGGAGGTTACATTCTTGGAAAGTGCCGTGCGAAAGCTAAAATGCCGATATTAAATATTTAATCCTTACCTAAATAATGGAGTTAGGTAAACGGCATATAAAATATACATCACAATTTAAATAAGTACTGTACTGTATTCCCAATAAACTAAATTACTGAAATAAACGTCGAGAAACCGTATACAAAACATTCCAAGATGAGTATCTTACCTATAAACGTCACTTTTTGTCTGTCTGTCCGTCTGTCTGTCCGTCTGCGTACGCTCCCTTGCGGGGGATGTAGCTCTCGGACCGTGGGGTTCGCCGAGATAAAATTTTGCAGGTGGGCACGCCCCCGACCCTGCGGTAAACTTAGGCATTTCCGATTTTTCATCTCTAAACTTTAAATCTGACCGATTATCGATTTAGTGCGATTTCTCTTTATTTATTTATTTATTATTGCCGACCAGCACGTAACGAAGCACGCCGTTGCGCATGAGTGAAGGCGGTTGCCCCTGGCAACAGGCGGTTGACCCCTGGCAACGGTTAGCAACGCCGCTTCGAGGTGGACGCCATTTTTAATTCCCGTAAAAAATATGCGCACGCATTAACACGCGACGCTGAGGTAAATTCATCAAAGTTTCACGTCCTCTTCACTCCCCCCCCCCACCCCAATGTGTGCAATTACTATCATAGGGTCGGTAGATAATAAAATAATAGCGATTAGCCAGTATTATTGTAGCGCGGGGGGGGGGGGTGGGGTGACGGCCACAGCACCCAGCCTCGGCCGGGTGGGCAATCTAGGCGAGGCCGGAGGCTCTGCACGGTACTAGGCCTCAACACCCCACGCGTCTCAGGCGACGACTTTGTGGTATAAATTCGATATACCCAGCGTTGCCCGAGAGGTACGTCCCTTGCCCCGCGGTGGGAATAGGCAGGTCCGTTTTTCATCCGTCACCTTTAAAGTGGTTTAATTATCGATTAAATGATATTAAACATTATTTATTTTCCCCTGCCGCTCCGCGCGCGACATTTGCGCATGCGCGAAACGCTGACCGGGGATTGCCCCTGGCAACGCACACACGCGCCGTCGGTGGAAGGGGAGGGGGATTTTCATTCCGTGGACAAGCTTACAAGGTGAGTCGCGCTTATTAACAGCTCCGTTATGTTGTATATGTTTGATTATGAAATTTTGATGAAAATAATAAAAATTAATAATTTTCCAAAAAATGCGCAAATCGCATTAATTATGTTAATGTGTGTCTTAATATGCATACATTATGATGTGTGTAATTATATGCATAAATTATGATAATCACGGAGATAATCGTAGTAATTTATGCGGAAGCTTGCGACTATGTTAATGTGTGCAGTTATGATAATTAGGCTTAGTTTCGTTTATCCAGAGTTATATCAATCAGGATAACACGATTATCATTGATTAAACATTTACCGATTATCCTAGTGTGTTTTATGATATTTTAGGTCTCCAGTTTCATATCTCATCACAGGCTACAGTTCTCAAGAATAAGACAGTTTTGCATGGACTTGGAAGGAACACTCGATATGCTTCTGTGATAACAATTTTATTCTAACAAGCATGTGACATTCTATCATGCAGGTCAAACATGCGTCAATAATTCATGAGCAAGATTATGCAATTAACGAAAATGGATGACAAAACTTATGCATTTGCGAGATTATGCAATTACGAAATTGAATGACTAAAAACCCTCCTAACAATCGTAACCTCTACCTTTCCACCAGGCATCTCATTAGTTCCCCCATGTATCGATCACAATCGGCGACTGGCCGAGTTTAAAAACCAGCATGACACACTTCATATGGCGGTAATAAAAGCACTTATTGTATCCCAGAGGCGAAAGTCTATGTCAATAGATTCATCGGCAAGTATAAAATCCTTTTAACGGAATGTTTGATATAATGGTGGGTGAGGGCGTGTGTGGTGGTGTGAGAGCGAATCTGGCTCTGTTTTAATTAATTCTTCGGCGAGACTCTGACAAAGAAACCGGTTTGACAAGATATTCTCTGTGCGCTTCCTTGAGTCTGTGTGTGGAGAGCGATACGACCGATTAGGAGATTCCTCTGTCCGTGCGAGTTGTAGCCGAGACTTTCTGCGCTGCGAGGTGAGCAGCGGCGCTTGGCGGTGCTCGTTCTGAAGGTTTTGACTCTCTTTCTCCACTGCTCGATTGATTTTGCACGACGCTCGCCGTCGTGTTGCGCGATGATTCCGTCCTCGCTGCTGGACGTCTTGTGGTGCTCACTGGGTGTTGGTGTGCATCAAACACACTGCGCATTCGATAGCTCTTGCTCTCTCTTGGTGGCAGCCCCCGGCTTCTCCACTGCTGGACGATTGTTGAGTCGGCACGATGCTCGCCGTCGCTCTGGACGTATAGTCTGTTCTCACTGGCCGTTGGTCGGTGTGCGCCTCAAACACACGGCGCATGCGATGGCGCTGTGTTGTGTATATGCCCCCTTTTAATTTTTTTGAATATTATTTTTATTTTTAAGAATTATTCTGCCAACATATATAATATAGTTTTTTTAATAGACACGGGGCAACGTGGAACGAACACGCCCCCACACTTCCACAGATGCGCGCATACCTCATTTCAAAGGAAAGAGGGCATGAAAGAGGGCAATCAAGGTCATAAAAACTCCCGAATTTCACACAAGAGGAACAAGAGAGGGGAGAATTGCAGGCGGGGGGGGGGGGGGGGGGTTAGAATGACACCCTTTCGTTACAAACCAGGCACCACGGAGGAAGAGAAAATATATTCTTAACAAAGAAACAGCATTGACGACAAAAAGCACAGACGGGTCTTTGAACCATGTTAGATACACAAAGTTACCAACTTAGCCATGAAAATTAAGCAAACAGTATCTATCCTCACTCCAATTGGAAATCAGACTACAGTCTGCACCAGAATCGCGACCCATCATTGTTAATTAAATACTGACATTATTTACCTTTAAAGAATTTCTACACGGCCGGGCCGAAGCATCAAAAAATAATTATGGCATCTATTTCGCTCCAAAACAAAGATCCCTAGCCGGGATATCAGATTAAATAATCACAAGAAGTCAAATAATAAGTACGGAATTAAAGTAGAAGAGGAATCAAGGGTGGAGAAGGCTCTCAAAATTAACCAAACACAACACCCCATGGGAAGCGAGCAACACGGCCGTCTTTGTCTTTCCGAGAGGATCTCCACACGCAGGCACAAAGCCAGGAAATGACACCCATAAAGGTTGGGGCAATGGCTCAAAGGAAATTAACACACGCCTTCGAATAAATAAATAAA